TTCTTCCTATCCATGAGCAAGGGATGTCTTTCCATTTTCTGAGATCATCTTCAATTTTCTTTTTCAGTGTATTATAATTTTCACTGTATAAGTCTTTCACTTCTTTCGTAAGAGTAATTCCTAAATATTTCATTTTTTTGCTTGCTAATGTGAATAGTCCAGTTTCTCTTATTTCCCTCTCTGTAATTTTGTTGTTCGTGTATAGGAATGCTATTGATTTCTGAGTATTGATTTTGTATCCAGCCACATTACTGAATTTATTTATTGTATCTAAGAGTATTTCAATGGAGTTTAGGGGGTCTTCTATGTAGAGTATCATGTCATCTGCAAACAATGATAATTTAACTTCTTCTTTTCCTATCTTTACCCCTTTTATTTCTCTTTCTTGCCTAATTGCTCTGGCTAGTACTTCCAGTACTATATTAAATAGGAGTGGTGATAAAGGACATCCTTGTCTTGTACCCGATTTTAAAGTAAAGGCTTTCAATTTTTGGCCATTTAGTATGATGCTGGCTGTTGGTTTGTCATAAATGGCCTTTATTATATTGAGGTAAAGACCATTTATTCCAATTTTCTGTAAAGTTCTTATCATGAATAAGTGTTGGACCTTATCGAAGGCTTTTTCTGCATCTATAGAGATGATCATGTGATTCTTATTTTTGGCTTTATTGATATGGTGGATTACATTTATTGATTTGCGTATGTTGAACCATCCTTGCATTCCTGGGATGAATCCCACCTGGTCATGGTGTATAATCTTCTTGATGATTTGCTGGATCCTATTTGCCAATATTTTATTGAGGATTTTTGCATCTGTGTTCATTAGGGAGATCGGTCTATAGTTCTCTTTTATAGTTGGGTCTTTCTCAGGTTTTGGTACTAGAGTAATATTTGCTTCCAGGAATGACTTAGGAAGGATTGCTTCCCTTTCAATTTCATTGAATAGTTTGAGGAGTGTCGGCATTAGGTCTTCTTTATATTTCTTGTAGAATTCTGCAGTGAATCCATCTGGGCCTGGGCTCTTCTTGGTGGGCAAGGACCCAATTACATTCTCAATTTCATTAGCAGAGATTGGGTTATTCAACAGTTTTATATCCTCTTGATCTAGCTTTGGTACTTCATATGCTTCTAAGAATCTGTCTATTTCTTCTGTGTTATCAAACTTTTGAGAGTAGAGGTTTTCGAAATAGGTGTTGATGATCCTCTGTATTTCTATTGGGTCTGTAGTGATTTCTCCTTTTTCATTTCTTATTGCATGAATTTGAGCTTTTTCTTTCCTTTTTTTAATAAGGTTGGCTAGGGGCTTATCGATTTTATTTATTCTTTCAAAGAACCAACTCTTTGATTCGTTGATTCTTTGGATTGTTTTCTTAGTCTCTATTGCATTAATTTCTGCTCTGATTCTTATAATTTCCTCTCTTCTTTTGGCTTTGGGCTTGACTTGCTCTTCTTTTTCTAGCTGTTTGAGGTGTAGCATCAAGTTATTTACTTGTATTCGTTCTGTTTTCCTGATGTGGGAACTCAGTGCAATAAATTTTCCTCTCAGGACGGCTTTCATTGCATCCCACAGATTCCGGTAAGTTGTATCTGCATTTTCATTTTCTTTTAGGTATTGTTTAATTTCTTCTTTAATTTCTTCTGTGACCCACTGATTACTCAAGAGTGTGTTATTTAGTTTCCATGTGTTTGCGGAATTTTTGCAGTATCCTTTGTCATTAATTTCTAATTTCAGAGCGCTATGATCCGATAATATGCAAGGGATGATTTCAACTCTTTTGCATTTGCTTAAATATGTTCTGTGAGCTAATATATGGTCTATTTTAGAAAATGATCCATGTACTGCTGAGAAGAATGTGTATTCTGATGTTGTTGGGTGGAACATTCTGTATATGTCTATCAAACCCATTTGTTCACAGGTGTGATTCAGTTCTGTTATTTCTTTGCTCATTTTCTGTCTGGTTGATCTGTCCCTTGGTGTCAGTGGTGTATTAAGGTCTCCTGTTACAATTGTGTTACTGATAATTTGAGTTTTCATTTCTGTTAATAATTGTTTTATATAACTGGGTGCTCTGGAGTTTGGTGCGTATATATTTAAGATAGTTATCTCTTCCTCTTGGAGTTTTCCCCTTACGAGTATGTAGTGACCTTCTTTGTCCTTTATGGTCATTGTTGGTTTAAAGTTCACGTTGTCTGCAAACAGAATGGCTACTCCTGCCTTGTTTTGGATTCCTGCTGCATGAAGAATTGTTTTCCATCCTTTGACTTTCAGTCTGTGAGTATCTTTCTGGGTTAGATGGGTTTCCTGTAAACAGCATATGGTTGGATTTTGTTTCTTGATCCATTCTGCTAGTCTGTTTCTTTTGATTGGTGCATTGAGACCATTTACATTAATGGTTATTACTGTTAAATGCTGGTTAATTGTAGGAATGTTATCTCTCTGCTGTTGCATCTTTATCTTTCGGTTCTGTTTAATTATTTGCTTTGCTTAGTGGTTTTTTCCTTTGTGTATCTAAACTGTCTTTCAATATTTTTTGCAGGGTTGGTTTGGTGTTCATGAAGTTCTTCAGCTGTTCTTTGTCATGGAAGTATCGTATTGCACCATCTATTTTGAATGATAGTTTTGCAGGATATATCAGTCTTGGTTGGAAATCATTTTGCTTTAGGATCTGGAATACTTCACTCCATGCTCTTCTTGACTTTATCGTTTGTGCTGAGAAGTCTGCTGTGATTCTGATAGGTTTTCCTTTATAAGTGATTTGTCTTTTCTCTCTGACAGCTTTTAATAATCTATTCTTGTGTTGGATTTCTGGGATGGTGATTATTATATGTCTGGGTGTAGTTTTATTTTGGTTATGACTGTTTGGAGTTCTATATGCTTCACTGATCCTGATGTCAGTTTCTGATCTCATGCTTGGGAAATTTTCAGCTATTACTTCTCTAAATATCCTCCTGACATCCTTCATGTTGTCTTCCTCTCTTTCATTAATCCCTATCATTCTTATGTTATTCTTCTTTGCATCGTCTTGCAGTTGTTGAATTGTTGTTTCCTGGTTCCTTGTTATTTTCAAAAGATCTTTCCTTTCCTGTTCACTAGCTGCAATCCTGTCTTCAAGGTCTGAAATTCTATCTTCACTTTCATTAAGGCGGTTTTTACAACTTTCAGTGGAGTTTTTTATTTCCTGTATATCTCTGTGCATCTGCATTATGTATTCTGTTTGTTTCTTATATTGCTCGTCTAGGGATTCTATCTTTTTGTTTAGTTCCTCCAATTTTTTATCTGTGTTTTCTTTAGATATATTTAGAATCTCTTTCATTTCTTTTATCATTTCTTCTTTTATCTGGGAGATTATTTCGAGTTTGAATTTCTTTAAAGCTTCCTGGAGTTGCTTGTCAATTTCAGTGGCTATTGTGTCCGATATATGAGGTGGATGGGATATATTTTCTTCTATATACATCGCTCCTAGGGTTTCTTGAGATGGGCTGGAGGTTTGAGGTTGTAATTTGGTCTTTCGTTTTGTCATTTTCCTATATTTCTGTGTTTCAAGTGTTACTTGAAAGCTTCCTCAGGATCTGTTGAAAATCCTCTTCTATGTTTGGAGCTACTGGGACTCTGGCGCCGCGCTACTCCAAGCCATTAGGCCTACAGAACCAGTGGCCCTCCTCTGCCAGCTCAGAACTCCGCAGTTCCAGACAAGCTGGGCCTCAGGGACACTGTGCGCCCACCTGCCCCTTGGAAGCTCCACAGTTCTTCAATCGCAGCCGGGTTAGGGTACTCACCACAGGCCGCAGTGCTTCAGGAACCTGTGGACCCTCCCTGGTTGCAGAGATATCCACAGTCCTCCAGACACGCAGAGAGGCCGGTGAGGGCACCCCAGATCTGCCCAGCTCCTCCTCTGCAGACCTATGGCCAGGTGCGGCAGCTAAACAGGCTGGGCTAGGCTGGTAGTGTGGGCCAGCCCACCTATCGGGAGCTCAGCAGGTCTCCAAATGAAGCCGGGAATGGGGAGGCTGATGTGGAAGCCTCAAACCCACCTCTCCCCTTCACTGCACCTGGAAGCCTGAGGGAACTCCAGCAGACTGGGCGCAGAAATCCAGAGTCCTCCAGACACGCAGAGAGGCCAGTGAGGGCACCCCAGATCTGCCCAGCTCCTCCTCTGCAGACCTATGGCCAGGCGCGGCAGCTAAACAGGCTGGGCTAGGCTGGTATTGTGGGCCAGCCCACCTATCGGGAGCTCAGCAGGTCTCCAAATGAAGCCGGGAATGGGGAGGCTGATGTGGAAGCCTCAAACCCACCTCTCTCCTTCACTGCACCTGGAAGCCTGAGGGAACTCCAGCAGTCTGGGCGCAGAAATCCAGAGTCCTCCAGACACGCAGAGAGGCCAGTGAGGGCACCCCAGATCTGCCCAGCTCCTCCTCTGCAGTCCTATGGCCAGGCGCGGCAGCTAAACAGGCTGGGCTAGGCTGGTAGTGTGGGCCAGCCCACCTATCGGGAGCTCAGCAGGTCTCCAAATGAAGCCGGGAATGGGGAGGCTGATGTGGAAGCCTCAAACCCACCTCTCTCCTTCACTGCACCTGGAAGCCTGAGGGAACTCCAGCAGTCTGGGCGCAGAAATCCAGAGTCCTCCAGACAGGCAGAGAGGCCAGTGAGGGCGCCCCAGATCTGCCCAGCTCCTCCTCTGCAGACCTATGGCCAGGCGCGGCAGCTAAACAGGCTGGGCTAGGCTGGTAGTGTGGGCCAGCCCACCTATCGGGAGCTCAGCAGGTCTCCAAATGAAGCCGGGAATGGGGAGGCTGATGTGGAAGCCTCAAACCCACCTCTCTCTTTCACTGCACCTGGAAGCCTGAGGGAACTCCTGCAGTCTGGGCGCAGAAATCCAGAGTCCTCCAGACACGCAGAGAGGCCAGTGAGGGCACCCCAGATCTCAATTATTCAACTTTTGATTTGCTAGACTAATAGAAGGGGAAAAAAGTATGAATGAACTGTACCAAAGTTAAAAAGGGTAGTTTAGAAAAATTATATTTAAAATTTTTTTTTTCAGCCAGAGCTATGTGAACAGCAGATGTTTATTAACTGTCTCAGTAACAAGTCCTTTTGTAGTATCCCAGGTAGAACATAAATTAAATGAATAGAATAAGGTATCCCAGTATTTCCCATCTTCCTCTTCAAAGATGGCTCTATACATTCTGCTCAGTATTTTAAATTAAGAGTTTCTGCTAAAAGTAAACCTGTAGAAAGAAACCTTTCTCCAGTATTTACACCCTTAATTTTAGCCAAAACTATGCCAAACAAATCACTTTATTGATTTACTAAATCACACACCCTTAATCCCATTATCACACACTCTAGAGTCAGCCTTCTTTGAAAAACCCTATCTAAAATTACATGAGGCTTTGGAGGGACGTTTAGACACAAACCATAACAGGTGGTAGAGGATGATAAATACAAAAGAAAGGAAAACTATAGGAACATAGATGTAACTATAGAATGGATGTGTCACATTGTCTTGGAGCTAGGCACCTATGAATTGAAACCTCTAAACACTTTGTGCTAAATAAACCTTTCCTCCTTAATTTTGGGCATTTCTCAGTAGTGAGAAGTAACTAAGACAGAATTTGGTGCCAGAGGAGTAGGGACTTTGGTAATTCCTTGGAAATAAACTAAATGCCTTTTGCACAAAGCAATGTGCAGAATGGGGGCTGGGGGTGAATAGTTACAGTTTGTGTCTTGATGTCTTCTAGCAATGTGTGTGAATTTAAATAGTGAAATATTATCTTGAATACAGTCATTCAAACTGTTTTCTTTCCAGACCCAAAAATGCCAGAGCATTACCAGCTTTGAGTTTATCCTAAAAAAAAGGAAAAGAAAAAAATTTTATTTTAAAGTATTATTGGTTGTTTTAAGTATTTTGTTGTCTTCTTCAGGTTTTTAAAATTGAGCTCCACGATAGAGAAAACTATTAGCAGGTTATTACAGTGTATCTGTTACACAAATCTTAATCCATGTTTCTTTTTTTTTTTTTTTTTTTTGTCTTTTTCATTTTTATCGGTACCAAGAATCGAACTCACGACCACCTGCTTGCAAGGCAGGTGCTTATGCTGCTGAGCTAAATCTCCAGCCCTTAATCCATGTTTCAACCCACTGTTTGAAATCTAAATCTGAAAGTAGATTGAAGGAATAGTGGAAGAATTATACAAAAGGGAAAGCCCTCCTAATAAAGTGACCTTAGTTGGAAACTTTTAGAGGACCCTTCAATACTAGTTGGAGGCAAGTTACCAGAGAAAAGTTACCATTTAGGTCTGTAGGACAAGAGGGCTAGAAACAGTGCCTAGATGTACTCTTAACTGTCCCCTGACTTCTAGGTATATACTTTATCTTTTCATATGTCCTTGAATAAATAATTTGCTCTCCCATCATAAGAGAAGGTCTCAGATGGGGATACAAATCTGTACATATCATACATTTCCTATAAAAAAGTTCCCCTTAGTTTTCTCCACCTCCTCCCTGATCATAGACTATATCAGCTCTTAAAAAAAAGAAAAATTATTTTCTGGGTCAGTAGCACATACCTGTAATCTTAGCTACTCCAGAGACTAAGATTGAAAGTTTGAAGGAAGTCTGGGCAACTTAGTGAGACCCTGTCTCATAATAAAAATAAAAAGGGCTAGATATATAACTCAGGCATAGAGTATCCTTGGGTTCAATCGCCATTATAGATAGATAGATAGATAGATAGATAGATAGATATGTAGGTACTTCACAAACAGCGTTGTGGTACCCCAGTGGTTTTGTAGCCACCTACAAAGGATATACTTTTATGTAAAACAGTCAGATTTTCCAGTTGAAAACTTACAACTAGTATATATCAGAATGAATTCTTGGTGTGTGTTAATGTGCTTGAAGATTATTCAAGAGAGTTGATGAACTGTGTCTTTAACAGATAAGGTAGAGAGAGTTCAAGAAGCTTTTTGGATTTTAAGTTAGAATGGGTGGGTAGGAAGGGGAGATGACAAAGGAGAGGAAATCTGAGGATACTGCATCTCATTTTAAACACATCTTGATTCAGGAGCCTGAGGAGTAAAATAGGTAGTGATAGCATTGTGATATATTTTAGTATCAGTTACCCACTTTAAAAGCCAAATACTGGGAAAAATATCAAGTTATTTGAGGAACTGATTCCTTGGGTACTTGTTATTAAGAACTTATTCTTTGTTTTGAGATAGTTCTTCCTATGTAGTTTAGCCTGGCTTTGAATTTACTACATAGCCTACATTGGCATTTAACTTGCAATTCTGCTTTAGCCCCAAGTGTTGGGATTACAGGCATGTACCACCACAGCCAACTGAGATCTTAGTCTTAATACCCAAATAACTGCAGTCATCAGAACTTTCTGAGATCTGTTATAAGAAATATTAAAGGAAGAAATTGAGACATCTGCTTGTAGTATTGATATCTTTAGCTGGTATTACTGATATTCTTTACAGTTTTCTTCCTTGCCTTTTGAATTTAGTTGTGCAAGGCTGGCTTTAAATTGTTTTATATTCTTGTGCCTTATATTTCATTCATTTCATTTTTTGGTGGATCTGGAGGTTGAATCCAATACTTGTACATTGCTATAGTGGTTTTTTTTTTGTTTTGTTTTTGTACCGGGGATCGAACTTATGACCTTACACTTGCCAGGCAGTGTTTATGCCACTGAGCTAAATCCCAAGCTAAGCAATAGTTTTTTCTATTTTGAAATAGGGTCTTGTTATGTCTTTAGTTGCCCAGGGTAGGCTCAAGTTTGTGATCTTTTTGCCTCAGCCTCCCAGAATACTAGGATTACAGGTGTGCGTCACCACACCTGGCTTCTTTGTCTTGTTTTATTTTATTGTTGGTTTTTTGAGACAGTGTTTCACTGTGTAGTACAGGTTGGTTTTGAACTCACTATGTAATTCAGCCTGGTTTTGAACTCCCTGTGATCTTCCTGCCTCAGCCTCCCAGGTGCTGGGATTACAGGTGAGAGCCACCACAACTGGCTGCTTTTTGTCGTTTAATACTTTTATTACTGGTGGTAAACCTGTGGCATGAGCTGTTTGTATCACTGAAAGCTCTGAAAGATTCCCCCTTACTGCAGGCTTAGCTATTTTTGCAAACAGAGAAATAGCTCTAGAAATGTTAAGTGTGATGGTTTATTTCTTCTTTGTTAATTTGTGTTAAAGTGTTCTGAAACTAAAGACAGGGCAGAAAAATTCAGGAAGAAGACAATGAAATAAGACATACAGTATACCTTTGTTTCTTCATCAAATTCTTCCATGGATTCTATTAATTTCCCAGGTTCCAATTCACCCAGTGGAAAGGGGTAATCAGTTCCCAAGATGATTTTATCCTAAAAAGAGAAAATGTGTTTTTATTTGTAAATTGGTAGAATATGGAACTATGACTTTGTGATCTTTAAGCTATAAGCTTTATTATATTTATTTATTATAAGCACTCATAATAAGGTAAATCTTTCTGATTAATAGAAACATGAATCTGCTCTACATATTATTTAATGGTTCTAATTTTACTTCAACATTTTTCCAGCAGATGTCACTATTAGGTCTCCTACATTTGCATATCAACCCCCATCCTGAAGAGAGAGGGAACTAGGAAAAGGGAGAAAGGAAGAGAGTAAAAAAAGAATTAAGATATGTTACATACAGGTACCAACTTCTCATGAGGAATGTAATCGTTATATACTGCAAACATGTACTAATAAAAAACAACTGGAAAAAACTCAAGGAACTAAAATACAAAATATAATAGGCATTTATTTAATAAAATACACTTACATATTTAGATAAAATTAAGGATTCTTTCTTAAAAATGACACATCACAATTGATCCCATAATATTTGAATGTGTACTAGAGTTAAAAAAATGAGAAAAAAACCCTGAGAGATATTAAATCGATGGCAGTGTATCAAAATAAGAAAAGTACATCAAACTATATTTTTATTTTTAAAAACTTATCTCAGTGTACAAGAAATAAGTACAAGGAAATTAAATGTGACAGCATACAACTAGCCTACTAAATTATAGAAATCTGAAAATAAAGAGGAATAAAGAATTATGCTGAAATGAGATAATCTGCAAGTTATAAAGAGGAATGATCTTTTTGGTTTTTTTTTGTCTTTTTCATTTTTATTGGTACAAGGGATCGAACTCAGGATCGCACACTTGCAAGGCAGGTGCTTATGCCGCTGAGCCCCAGCCCCAAAAGGAATGATCTTGAAGTTACATTATAAAGATGAAAAAAATTAGAACAATATGTCTGCTATGCTCATTTTTCTGTTTTTAACAAAGACTTATAAGCCCAAAATATATATGCAGTCTATTTCAGGAATGGTGCCCAAGAAACAAGTAACATTAACTGCCTTAAAGGTGAGGAGACCTTTCTTTTTTTCTCTCTCATGCCCTCATTCCTTCCTCCCTCCCTCCCTTCAAGATACAGCTCATATGCAGGGTAAGTAATCCTTTTAAAATGTACAGTTCAGGGGCCTTGGTGTTTAGTATATTCATTTAAGTATAATCATTTCGAGGTAGGATAGAAAACATACTGAAAGGAGACAAGGCAAATCACAATTTTACAATTGTACTTTTAATAAAAATTGCAACTTCAAGACACAAACCTAGTTGAAAATTCCTTTTACGTGTAAGTGGACCTTTTCCTTATGGAAAACTACAGCTCTGTCATTTTTGATGGCTTCCTACCTATGAATCAGCCACCACTCTTTCCCGGTAAAAAGGACCACTGCTTGTCATCTGTAAATAGAGTCTCATCTTTCATAGAGTCACAAATCTCACAGATTTGCATCCCAGTACCCCCAAAATATACACACTCTCTAGTACAAGGTGTTTCTCTCTTGAGAGCCCTCACTGTTTCTTTGAATGTATACTTTTAAAATTGTACCTAGTAAGTTCCTTTGTATCTTTTATTTCTGGTTAGGTCTTATTTTGGGGGGAACATGTTATCTACGGATTGTCTACTCAACAATTATAGAATACACATCCTTCTCAGAACTTTCTCCAAAATAGACCACATACTAACCCATTAAGCAAGTTTACATAAATATAAAATATGCATATTATCCATGAATATAATCAAATTATATTTAATAAAACTAGAAATCAATGACAAATCAAAAATTATGCTGACATTAAACAGTCCACTCTTGAGTAATCAGGGTCACTGAAGTAATCAAGTTAGTTCCTAGAACTAAATGATAATGCTGGTACAGCAAGAGTTTACAGATACAGTGAAAACAATCCTATAAGGGAAGTTTATAGCTGTGATTGTCCACATCAGAAAAACAGTAAACCAAAATAAATAATTTAATGATGCATCTGATAATCTGAGAACAACAGAAGCCCTCCAAACAAAAATAACCAGAGCAGAAATTTATGAAGTGGCCAATACATACATGAAAAGTTGTTCAATATCTGACTGTTCTGGCTTTTATCTACATGTGCTCCCCACCCTTGCCTCATACACTCACTGATGGGACTTTTGTGAGTAGCTGGATCAAGGATGTGATGCTGGATTATGGGTGTATGATACTGGCTTAGCCCGCCTATTGGTTTAACATAATTATGGGTGTGATTGAATGGATTCACTGAAAATGGAAGACTCACCCTAGGTGTGAGTGGCACCAACTAGTAGGCTTGTAGCCTGAATGGGATGAAAAAGGAAAAGTAGAGGGAAGACTGCTGCTTCCTACTTTGGAGTCAGCTGACTATGAACTGAAACTTCTACAAAGTGTGAGCTAAAATAAACCATTTTTTAACTTGAGGGTATCAGGTACCTTGACCCAGAAATGAGAAAGTAACTGAGACAATGACCATTGGAGAAATGCAAATTAAAATAATATAGAAATTTCATTTTACTCTGGAAAGAGTGACTATGATCAAATAATAACAAGCATTGGCAAGACTATGGGGAAAAAAGTACCCTTCTATACTTTTGGTTGAAACAAACTAGTATAGTCATTATGGAAGTCAGTATGGGGATTCCTTAAAAAGCTGAAACTAGAAATTCTATTTGATCCAACTATTCCCCTACTAGGTGTCTTTTTGAAAGAGTTAAAAACATCATATTACAGTGATTCATGCATATAAATGTTGATAGCAGTGCAACTCAGATAAATCTTGGAAGTGGCCTATATGTCCATCAGCAGATGAAGGGTTAAAGGAAACATATTTATTGTTGTACTAAAATGCTAAAAAATTAAAATAGTTAAAAAGATAGTTATTAGCAGTATCGTCATTCTATGCTGTGCTTGTTACCCTAGTACCAACCACATAGTTATAGATTAACTGACCATGTTCATGCTGTTCTTTATGCATCCCCCAGTAACCTGTTTGCTGTGTCAACATTTGTTCCCTTTGTAAGAGACAAATGATGCTGGGTCAACCATTGTTCCCTTTGGGAGAGACAAATGTTCCTGGAATTAGCAGACCAAGGGCTATGAATTGGGTAACGACCCACTGTGAAATGCCTCTGACCTCAAGCAAAGGGGAACAAAGGCTACCTTGTTTCTGTTTCTCATTGCTATGTACTTAAAGGTCAATGAGCTAATCGTAAATGAACTATAAAAATCTGTCAAAATTCTAACCTAGTTGCACAGCTTTGCAAATTCCATCTGCACTGTGTCGCTGGTGCCAGCTTAAATAAAAGTGCTTCTTAAAAAAAGACGTTGTCTTGACCTGTTTTTCATCTCAGAGCCTTTTTGGGGTACAACATTTATACACAGTGAAGGTCTGTCTGTTCTGGCACAAAATAAGGGTAAATTTGAATTGAGACAATAATATTGAGTGAAATAATTCAGATATGCAAGCTTAAATATATGATCTGTCTTACATATAAAAGTAAATTAAAAAGCAAAAAAAAAGGTAGATAACAGGAATTAGGAAGACACATCTTAGTGAAGGGGGCCAAGAGATGGAGGAAGGTGGAGCAATAAAAATAATTAAAATTAGGTATATGTACCAAATCCCTATGATGAAGGTAATCATTATGAACTGTAAACATGTACTAACAAAATTTTGGAAATTAATGAGTATAGATGGTTTAAGACATTCATGATGGTCAGAGATATCATAGGAAAAAATAACTTTCCATGTCCACTGTTACAATTTTATTGTAAAATGTTCTCCAAAGCCTCATGCACTTCTAGATGAGAGTATTGAGAGTGGCTTGATCATGGGTGTAGGATATAGGATTGAGGGTGTAATATATGGGTTAGTCTACTAATTGGTGTAGCATAGTTCTGGGGGCAGATATTGAAAAGACCTAACCTGGGTATTGGTAGCACTATTCAATAGGCTTGTAGCCTGAATGAGATAGAGGGAAAGAAAGGCTTGTTGCTGCTACAGCTGCTTTTTTTCTGCTTTATTGTAGACTGTTTCTCCTCTGTCATGCCACCCTGCTAAGCTGCCCTGCCTTGGAATGAGTAGGCTGTGGGCTGAAACCTCTATAAACTGTGAACTAAAATAAACCATTTCTCTTTTTACTTGTGAGGGTTTCTTATTTTGTCTTGGCAATGACAAAAAACACCCACATCTTCAACAATCTCGAATACACCTGAATGTGATATTTTCATTCTCTTGCATTTATGAGTGAGGGTTAAATGATGCACATTGTCCATCTCTATCTCACATGAAATTCAAACTCAGATGCAACTAACTGTAAAATATCAAATGGGAAGTAATCAGTGACCCAACACGTTCTTGACCAACCTTAAAACCCATCTACATTTCACAGGAATATAATAAGTCTTTACTTATCCTTTCTTTTAGTACTCAGTTGAGTTAGAATATTTTACATTCGTTCCAGTAGTTGTTTTTAGCAAAGGAAAAAATTCCATCATGAATGAGCATAGAAAAGATAACTGTGCAAGTGAATTTCCTGAGAAGGGAATGGAATGAACATCCAATATATGTGTTTTTGAATGTTTCAATGTTTGTTACTATATTTGATCTATTGTGCCAGAATACTCTGGAGACTGGTCTTTTTACTGGCTTTTTTAGAAGCACCGGAAGATGAGCTAGAAATGATGTGCCAAAAACAAGGAATAATCTTAGAAAAATGCAAGAATGAAGAAAATGGAGGAATAGTAAGCAACAACAATTCAACCTTTTTGAGATTTGGAATTGAGACACTGGAAAATAACAATTTGGGGAAGAAAAGAAAAGACGTAGATCTCTGGGAACCAGGTAGGATCTGACAGAAAATTGGCAAGACTGAACTTGGCAAGGGACAATCTGTTCTCCCTCCTTGGCTCCTGGTTTATGGGTTGTGAGAAAAAGGGGCTAAATATACAGAGACAAATTGAAAGTGGGAGATTC